CCCAGTGCCTAGGACATCCCCACACAACTATTCAACATGGAGAAGTTGAGCAGATGCCTACATGGAGCCTTTACTATTATGTGTAGTGTCTTTGGTATAGGAAAGTACTCTGCAGGTTACCAAAAGAAAAACATGAATACCAACTCAGACACAAAACTTTTGACTTACAATATGTCCTGCCTACAAGATATGCTAGGGCAATGGTGGCATAGGACTTCTTGGAGTAGCCAGCCGGTTTCATAAGGCCCCACTCTACAGATAGAACCCATACTCGACTCTGCTTGAGTGATCAAGAACTGGAAACTAGATAGACCAGAGACATACAGTAAAACCAAACACTATTTGTCTTTTAAAAAAAGTATCAATAAAATGACTTTTTTCCCTTTTTTTTTCAAGACAGGGTTTCTCTGTGTTGCCCTGACTATCCTGGAACTAGTTCTGTAGACAACATTGACCTCAAACTCACAGAAATCCCATCTCTGCATCCCAAGAGCTGGGATTAAAGGCATGTACCATCACCACCCAGCTAATAAAATGGCTTCTAATGATATTCAGCTATACTCATAGATAAGTGTGTTATTCGGTCATCATCAGAGAAGCTTCCTCCTGCAACAGACAGGAACAGATGCAGAGATCACAGCCAGACATGTGGAAAGAGAGTCCTTGAAACACTCATCTCTAAATGGATGTTTTCATCGATTCTCAGAACTCAGGGGACCCCAAGGAAGAGGAGGCAGAAAGACTGCAGGAGCCAGAGGGCATGGAGGACACTAGGAGAACTAGGCATGCTAAATCAACTAAGCAAGGTGCATGTGAACTCTCATAGACCGAAGCAGCAAGCACAGGGTCCACACGGTCTGCACCAGGCCATTCTGCATATATTTTATAGCTTTTGGCTTAGTATTTTTATGGGACTCCTGAGTGTAGGAAGGAGTGCGTCTCTGAGTCCTGTGCCTGCTTTTGGGGCTCTTTTCCTTCTGTTGGGGTGCCTTGTTCAACTGCGATGTGATGGTTTTTGCTTCATCTTATATTTTATTTTGTCATGTTTGGTTGTTATCTCTTAGAAGACCATTCTTTTCTTACAAGGGACAGAAAGAGTGAATCTGGAAAGGGGGCGGTGGTGGTCTGAGTAATAGATGGAGAGAAAACTGTAATCAGGATATATTGTATGAGAACAGAATCTGTTTTCAGTAAAAGGAAACAATGAACAAAGTGAGCATTTGCTGCTCTTTTATGCTTTTTGACGTTGGATGACTTGTGGCCAGCTGCCTTAGGCTCCTGTTGCTGTGCTTCCCATGGTCATGGGCTGCACTACTGACCTGTGAGTCCAAACAAGCCCTTCCTCTCTTAAGTGGTTCTGTCAGGGTATTTTATCGTAGCACCAGGAATTAAACTAAAACAGGAACTACTCAAGCTCTTTTGGTAAGTGTATTATTACTATTATTATTGCAAAGAGTATCTTATAGTCTGGACTTGCCTTGAACTCCCTGTGCAGCCAAGGGGCATTAAGATGGTTAGTGTAGAGACTGGGGATCAGGTCAGTCTGTAAAGTGCTTCTTGCACAAGCATTAGTTCTGATGCTCAACACCATGTACAACACTGTGGATAGTAGTGCATGCCTGTGATTCTGGCACTGGGGAGACAGACTGCAGGATCCCTGGAGTTGGCTGGTCAGCTAGCCTAGCAGAATCATTGAGCTCCAGGTTCAGTGAAAGACTCTCTCAAATGCAAGTTCCCAAAGAATGACAGCTAAGGTTGACCTCTGGCCTCCAGATGCACCTGTATATAAACCTAAACACACACACACACACACACACACACACACACACACGAGCATACACCTGCACACAAACATTTCCATAAACATGCACATATATGCACATACACCCACCTGCACACAAACATTTCCATAAACATGCACATATATGCACATACACCCACATACACAAGCATACACTTGAACTCACATACATACATGAGCTCATAAAGGAATGAATACACAGGTGCATTTTCTCAATCGAGAGTCTCTTTTCTGGCATATCTGTTTTTCTCTACTTAAAATAGCAACTTCTGGGCCATCGAGATGGCTCAGTAGGTAAAGGTACTTGCTACCATGCATGCCTCATGACCCAAGTGGTGGATCCCACCTGGTGGAAAGAGAGAACCAATCCCATAAGTTGTCCTCTGATCTCTGCATGTGTGCTGTGGCTGTGTGGGTAATGAATGTACACAAAATAAATGAAATAACTTTTCATGCCTTTTATTACAGTGTTTTTAGTTATGTTTTATAAGAATTTTGGCCGGGTGTTTGGTGGTGCATGCCTTTAATCCCAGCACTTGGAAAGCAGAGGCAGGTGGATCTCTGTGAGTTCCAGGGCAGCCTGGTCTACAGAGTGAGTTCCAGGACAGCCTCCAAAACAATATAAAAGAACCCTGTCTGGAAAGACCAAAAAAAAAAAAAAAAAAGAATTTTGTTCCCTATTTATTTTGTGTGTGGATGTCAACATTCAACTTTGGGGAGTGTGTTCACTCTTTCACCATTTGAACCCTGGGGATTGAACTCAAGTTGTCAAGCTGGGGTGCAGGGCCTTTTTCACTGAGCCATCTTGCTGGTCTGTGTGTGCAGGTGTCTCTTCCCTGACTCCTTACTCTTAGGGACTTGAGTTACAAGCTATGATAGCCCCCCTGAGATGTGTCTCTTACTGAACTGTACACCAAGCCTGTGCTCTTCATCCCCAAGTGGAAGGACCATTTGGACCACATTGTCCTCTGTGTCTTGGCAGTGCTCAGTGAGCAGGAGAGAAACGGAACTCAGATACTGACTACTAAGCGTGCCTTAGGAAGGAGCTCAGGATGAGAGCACCCAGGAAGACTTCCTGGGGGCAGTGTGGACAGTTGAGTACTAGATCATGAGTGGACACATGCCTAGGTCAAATGGAGAGGCCCACAGGGATCTAGAGGGTGCTGGCATCGAATGGCTTCTGACTTAGTGTTACAATAAGTCATTACAGGAATAGCACTAACCTGGGTGTTTCTGCTGTTAGCTTAATTATGACCTGTGTGTGTTTGGGTGGCTGGACTGCTGATGCAACTGAACCCTCCAAACACAGGCTTGCTGCTTGCCTGCATTCCATTCCCCTGAGGGGAATGGTTTTATGTGGAGCTGATCAGGCAGTTACTGACCTATGCAAGCTGCCAGGGGTTGTTAAACAGATGGTTGAGTTTGCAGAGATTCATTTTAAGCTAGAGGCCTCCATTAATTACAGAGAAACCTCAACACAGTCTAGAGCTGTTTTTCCTAAGATGGGGCCCTGGTCTGTCTTCAGTTTTGGTTTCTGTGGATTTCGGGTAATTCTATGTCCCAGCTTTCATGAAGCCCCAGATACTTGCATGTCTGCTTGGCATAGAGGAGTGGCAGACACATGGCTAATGTTTACAACTGCCTCACATAGAGGGTTGCCTTGTGGATGGATCCTGGGACCCTTACACTGTAAGCACTGGAGAAGCATGTGGGGAACACATACTGAACCAGGCCTCACTGGTTACAGGTAGCCCAGGAAAGACAAGCAGGGAGGCCAGAAGTTAGCTTTGGAGTTAATAGAATCTACCTCATCAAAGCTCAGAACATTGTTGGGGGAGTTCCTGAGGTAATAGGTATGAAAATCTTTCACCACCACATAGCAACAGCCCCCTGGAGCAGGACCGTGCCAGATAAGGTGACTGGTGGAGCAGATATCCTTGAAGTTAGGCAAAGTTGAGCCAGATGGTGGGGGTGTTCTCAGGGCCTTTGTACTGGGCCCTTCTGCCTAATTTGCTGCTTTTTATTTATTTATTTATTTATTTATTTATTTATTTATTTATTTATGGTAAAAATTGAGGTCATAAAACCAAGGCTACTGCCATCTGCTCACAGGATGTTGACCCACTCCCCATGCCACTCTGGTCTAATTTCTTAGTTCTGAGGAACTGAAATGTTTTGTGGGGTCTCTGGCCATACTTACCTCCTCAGAGCAGTGCAGAGGCCCCGGGGTGGGGCCCTTTCTGTCTCTCCTACCGTTTTGTTTTTCTTTTCTTAAATATATCATCCACCCATCATCTATATCATCTATCTATCTGTCTATCCATCCATCCATCCATCTACCTATGTAATATATACAGTCTATCTGGTTTTGAGGCCGGTCTCACTAAGTACTCTTGTTTGGCCTGAAGTTTGCTGTGTAGACCAGGTTGGCTCACAGAGATCCATCTGCCTCTGCCTCCTGAGAGATGAGATTAAAGGTGTGCTCCACTTTGTCCCACCTTTTCTCCCACCTTTTGTATTCCCAGAGCCCGGAACAAGGCTGTGAGTGGAAGGTCTCAGAAGGCATGCACTAAGAACACAGAGGCCCAAGGGAGGATCTAAGACTCCAGTGTGGTTGCCCTGACTTGATCTCTCACAGGCATGCTCCGAATCTCCCATTTTTTTCTAGTTATTGAGAAATTCAACTAAGTGCACAGTAATTGTAATATAATTGAAAAATTTGTCAACTCTAGATAGGAGTTCACAATGTACTTTCTTATAATAATACAATAAGGAACAAGAGTAAGAATTCATATGGCAGTAAGTAACAGGCCATGAAATTACAGTGTTTCTGATTTGGCAGGTTGGTGAATTCAGCCTCTAAAAATGTCATCTTGCTTTGTGCTTTGTGAACCATGTGAAGTAAATTAAGAGTTGAGACTTATGAATTGAATGCAATCCCCACAGGACTGATTTGTTTTTAAATTGGCGTTGCATCACCTGCTGATTGGCATCCTTTCCCCTGTTCTTCCAGCACTGGTCCTAAGGGGCACCCCTGACTTGAATCAAACAAAAATAGGGGTGAAGCTTTTGGCACTTCCCACGTCTGGAAATCCAGGTGTCTCTTGGAGTCACACCTGGCGGCTCACTTGCAGTGCTGGAGCTCACTCTGATGGTGCCACTTCTCAGGTAGACTGATGAGTCCCTGCTTCTCCTGTAGGGTGACCTGTCTGTGTGCCCAGTTTGAAGCTGTCCTTCAGCATGGCATGAAGAGGAGCCGAGGATTAGCGCTGACGGCAGCAGCCATCAAGCAGGCGGCAGGCTTTGCCAGCAAAACTGAGACAGGTATTTGGAGCCCACTTCTGCCTTGCTGCCTTGTCTGTCTTTCTATAGCAGGTTCATTGTGTGGGCCTGTGCCTGTGCTTGCGTGCAAAACAGAAACAAAACCAGTGCTGCTTGGCCCCTTAATTGAAATGAAGTCATCTTTTGTATGTGCCTCTCAGAGCCATGTACCACCAGGTCCTCTGGCTTTGGCTGCCTATAGCCATAGTACTTCTTCTGCCAGTATGCTATAGCAATTATTAGGAAATTAATAATCTGTTTTAATTTGAGGCATGGGGATAGCATGGCATTGCATAATTAAATGTCTTCAGCAGCACCAGAAACCTTGCAGTGTCGGAGCTAAGAGTTCTGCTGTTACCCATCTCAGTGTTGTAAAATAGTCATTGAAAATAAGGGATGCTAGGTGGTAGTGGCACACGCCTTTAATCCCAGCACTTGGGAGGCAGAGGCAAGCGGATCTCTGTGAGTTCCTGGTCTACAAGAGCTAGTTCCAGGACAGCCTCCAAAGCCACAAAGAAACTTTGTCTCAAAAAACCAAAAAAAAAAAAAAAAAGGGGGGGGGGAACGCATGGTGCTTAGTGGGACCCTGGCCCTTTGATAATCTTGGATGCATGCTAACTCCTTCCACTTCCCAGAAGTAGCTGAGGCCTTTACTGCTCCCCCTGAATGGGTGAGGAAGACTGCAAAGTGGGTGTTCTGCTCTGGCCGTGGACTTGGAAATAAACCGCCGTACAGAGAAGGCTAGAAATCTCTCCATCCTTCACATTTCAAAGGCAGAGGTTTTGAGACCCTTCTTGTGGCTGCCACCTCCAGTTCCTGACTCTTCCTTGTCCTCATGCTAATGCAAGTGTTGCTGCTGAGAAGAAGTGTGTCCCTTTTCCCACTAGCCCTCCTTACACCAGAGAGACAGAGCAGGGGTGTGTGGTGGGGACTGTGGAGATATCTAATGCTTCTCTTCTTCGAGGACGGGGTCTCCTGGGCACCGTGTACACACAGTCTTGTCAGAAGTCTTTGTCATGATATGACCCAGCCCCAGTGGAGGCCAAGCAAGAGGGGCTGCTGCTCTTGGGCTTCCAGCCGTTGACCTTGAATTTGCAATCCTCCTGCCTCAGCCTCTTCCACATAGGGTGACAGGTGTGCACGGCCACACCTCGGCTGGGCCGTCCTGGGATTGTCTCAGCTCTTCAGCTGACCTTTGATTGCTGTTTATCTAGTGAGGAGCTCATTCTCAGAAGTGAATTCGCTTCTGTGGATCAGGGACTGGGCCTGGGGGTTTCCTTTCACTGCTGAATTTCACACTGAATTGTCTTTAGAGCTCCCAGGTCTTTTTTAAGCCAGCAAAGGGGCCAGGCCTGTAATCCCAGCACTAGGGAGTTGGAGGCACAAGGATAAGAAGTTTGAGGCCAGCCTGGACTGTGTGAGACTCTGTCCCCAAAACCAGACCAAACCCAAACCAAACCAACAAAAACACAGGTAAGGAGGGGCCAATCCTAAGACAGTGTGTGCAAAAGGCCTCAGTGCCTTTCAGTCAGCTTCCGCCAGCGGCCTGGCCCATCTCACCCACCTCGCCCACCTCAGATGTTGACAGCAGTGGTTTATAGTGCGATCTCAGAAACTTTCCTGGGGTGCGTTCTAAGCCTGCCTATGGGGTGGGTCAGTGTCCAAGCTGCTTGGTAATATTTTCCCAGTTTCCCCTGTTTGCTGAGCCTTCTTTTCTCTTGGTTTCCATCTTGACTTGGTGGGTAGATAGTTATCTTAATCTATATGGCCCTTGATTGCTTCCAGCAGGTGAGGTTAGCTGCTGGCCACAGGGGCAAGCTGTATTTGGGTGCTCCTGACCTTGTGGGCGCTCCCTCCCTCTGAGCCTTAGTGCTTAGCACACAGGGAGAGCATGGCATCTGAGGGTGTTGTTAGGATGTGCAGACAGCTTCATTGGAAACACTGACTTGTGCTGCTCAGATGAGTGATCCTCCCCGAGCACCCTGAACTTTCACCATTCCCTCACCTCATCCTCCCTCAAGTTCTGACCTTTTGGCCACACCGGGAGATTAGTTCTTCCTGTTGCCTCACAGACTAGAATTTTTGTCTCTTGTTTGTTGACCCTGATAGCTAGGAAAGTCCCTATGCCTTTGTAATGTCCTTAGCCCTCAGCTCCCTACATCTACCTCAGCTCCTCAGCTTAGTTTTCCCTCTGTACCTTGGAAGTAGGTGCACAGGCTCTGCTGCTGTCTGCTGACTCGGATGCACAGCTATCTGTGCCAATTAGAAGCCGGGAACAACAGACTGGCTTAGCCCTGGGATGGCTGCCTGCCAAGGCTTCATTGTCATCTCTGTTGGCTGCCTTAATTAACCATTCACTGGCTGCTAGACCGGCCTTGGCTGATTAAGACCTCTTTCCTTGCAGGGAGTGATTAAAAACCTCTCAAGGGAAGAGGGCTGATGATTTATCAGCTGAGATCAGTTCGGAGAGCCATGAGAGCAGCCCTTTGGGACAGAATGAGAAACAAGAAATCCAGAGAGGATTGGCTACATATGGCCCCCCCCCTCCATAATATAGCATAGGGGTTGTGACCTGTGGTTTAAGTTGGACAGGGTTGGCATCCTTCTTGGTGACTGGTCAGGCAGGAGCCCATGGGGACATCTCCCTGGTCCTCTGTTTCCTCATTGTAAGATGAGGCAATCACAGGCCCAGGTTCAGGGCAGCCGGCATTTCTGTTTTCTTTGATGCTGTCCCTGCTTATTGAATTATGAGACAGGCTTACAGTAGCCCAGGAGGCTGCTGTATCAGCTCTGTTTACAGGTGAGAAGCTTGGCCTTCCCAGCTGGGCTCTAGCTCAGTGGTAGTACTTGCCTAACACGTGCGAGCTCATATGTTCAACCCTCTGCACCACAAACCCTTTTCCCTGTGAAGAGAGAAAAGCTTCCATTCAAGAGTACTGACTGAAGTAGTGATGGAGAATGCTGTGTGCCTGCCAAAGACGTGGCTTGCATTTGGTCCTCTGGGATTGGGCACAAGCATGACTGAGCTTAGTAACTTGGTTAATTTATTCATATTGAAATAGGTGTTTCTATTTTAAATCACAGACTGCTGTCCCTTGGTTGGTGCTGAGTACACTGGCAAAGGTGTCCCTGTCACTCCTGGCACGGCCCACCTCTCCCTGCTGCCTCTAAAGCCTGAGACAGTTGTCTACTGCCCCTCATCAGAGTCAAAAGGAGGGTGCTTTTATTCCCTGCATGCTGATACCTTACCCCCGTCCTTTTCAGACTATGGTCCATAGTAAAGGAAATATTTCTGAGCATGTGAAATTTGTGAAGACTCACCCTCTTAGTCCCAGAGACCGGTCCTGTGGGCTGAATGAGGATGCTGAAGTATTTTGTGTGTGTACCTGTGCATGCATGTCTGGAGGACAAGTAGATAGATGTTTCTTCTACTGTTTTCTGCCTTATTTGGTTCCCTATTTTTGAGATAGGGTCTTATTGTATCTGGAGCTCTCCAGTTGACTAAATGACTACCCAGTGAACCTCAGGGATCCTCCTGCTTCTGTCTCCTAGTTGTGGGATTACAGGATTATTGTTTGTCACACCTGTCTAGCTGCTTTACTTGATTTATTATATGTGTGTGTGGGGTATGCCATGGCTTGAATATATAAGTCAGAAGATAATTGTGGTAGTTGGTTCTTTCCTTCTACTGTGCAGGTCCCAGGGATTAAACTCAGGCTTGGCAGCAAGCACCTTTACTCACTGATCTATCTTTTCATGTTCAAGTAGGGGGGTCAGCCCACAAGTAACTATTTTTGAAGGTGTTGGGCATCTGAACTCAGGTCCTCATGCTTGTACATCAAGAGGTTTTCTTACTGAGCCATCATAAGTTTGTAACCTCAGCTTTAGTGAAATATTGAATACAAGGTAATACACAAAAGCATAAAGCAGCCCCATGTAGCCTCACAATCCATTAGTCACTCATGTTCCTAATACTTGGGGTTACCACCACAGCCTTGCCTGGAGCTTCTCTGGTTTCTCACACAGGCCTTTGTTTTGTCTCATTTTGAAGGACACTTCATACCTTCATTTGTGTGTGGTTTCAGCTGTTCTGTGAGGTTCTGTTGGGCTGTGGAGTACCAGGAGCTGCTCTGCCTCCACTAATGGTCAGTGCTTTATAGCCTATTAATATGCTTTACCAATGACTGGGTGGGGCCTGTAAGAGTTCACGTATTATGCTGGCCTGCCCCGTCACCTGGCAGAATCACTCAGGCGGTACTCTGGTCAGACCAGAGTTCCATGAGAACTAGTCTGCCCGCAGGTGGGACAGCCACAGAGGTACCTGGCAGGAGCCACAGAAGGAGGGGACTTTGTCGGGTCAGGCCTGTTCTTTGGAGTGCAAGTGCAGCAGTGTTCTTCCTGCCAGCTCCAGATCAGCCTGGGGGCAGGTGCAGAGAGAAGAGCAGCAGGCTAAGCTGGTAGGACCAGGACCTTTACAGCCATGGCAAGGAGCATAGTGTGTGCCAACACTAATACTGACCCTTTAGGTCTGGGGAGCTGGGGATGGGGCACTCTTAAGAAGACCCTTGAAGCTATATAATGTGTAGAATGCACTAGAGCTAACCAAGATGAGAGAGCAACTACAGTGCTTTGTAAGGACTCAACATAACCAAATAGGGGACTCATCCCTAAGGGAAAGATGAATTCTGTCTCTCAGCAGTGGTTAGTTGCCTGTAGTTGTTTGTCTAGGGGTGGGCCCCCTCAGGATTTCCCCTTTTCATGGTTGTGTGCCTGTTAGTGTTGTTCTTGGGCTTGTTTAGGCAGCAATTTGTTGTGCTGAATTTTTCCCCTGTTCTTTATACTCTGCAGTTCTTTTCCAAACTCCCAATGGTTAATATAGATTAGCAACCTGACAGGATCTAGTCATCTGGGAGATGAGTCTCTGGGCATGCCTACGAGGGGTTTTCTTGCTTATGTCAGATGAGGGGAGACCCACCCTAACTGTGGGCAGCACCATCCTAAGA